CAATATCGTATTTCGTTTATCGTAATGAAATTCCATGCTGCGCAAATGTCAATAAATGCTGCACATCTCTAGCTGATGAATGTTATGCAACACCGGCAATGCTGCAACTGTTAGTCGAGCCTTCCCTTACGCCCACATCACTTTATCGTATTACAACATTTTGGGGCAACAGCAACAGCAACAGCTGATGATGCTGTTGATGTACAACACTTGGCATTTTCCCATTTTGGCAGCATTATTTACTTAATTATTTTGAAGTGCTTGGCAAACAGATTTACACGAAAAATGTTTCAGGCAGTGACTACCCCCCCACCCCCCACCCTCTCCCTGCAACCGAAAAGCACTTGAGCTACGCAACTGACAGGGAGTATTGAAGGGAGTTGTAGTGCGGAGCGGATAGGCAGAGGGGGGCCTTCGACATGCAGCACAAATGTTATTAATTAAAATGTCATTCATTTATAAAATAAAACAAAAGGCAAAAGGACCTTCCGCTTAGTGCTATTCGCAGCTGCCGTTGACAGCTTTTGCTGCTGCTCCTGCTCCTGTTGCTCCTGCTGCTGCTGCTGCTGCTGCTGCTGCTGCTGCTGCTGCTACTGCTACTGCTGCTGCTGCTGCTGCTGCTGCTCCTGCTGCTGCTGCTGCTGCTCCTGCTGCTGTTTAAAGCGTAAACTTTGCTGTTTCAGGCCAAGCAGCGACCACACGCAGCTGCTGCAGGAGCTGCCCGCAAAAGCCACAAATATGTATGTCATTTGACACTTGCTACTTGTAAATGGAATCTCTCTCTGGCTCTGAAGCTGTAGCTGAAGCTGAACTGCTGACTGAAGCAGCTGCTTAAACGCCCTTCACTTTTTGGCTGTCAGTTGACGCCACGCCCAGCTTGTTCGGCTGTCAGTTCAGCTCAGGCACACACGCAGCATCTTTTGTTTGACCACAGAATCGACATCGACATCGACATCGACATCGACATCGACATCGACATCGACAGTGACATCGATATCCATAGCCATAACCATAGCCGTATCCATATCCAGAGCTGACACAGTTTACAACATTGTTTCACGTCAGGTGGCAACGCTGGTCACGCAACGCTGCTCCCTTTAAGCTCTCTCTCTGTGTGTGTGCGTGTGTGTGTGTGCGTCATCAAGTGAGCAATTGTCTTGAATTAATTTCTGCTTCATCACACACGCAACCCTTTACCCCCGGCATTTTCACACCCTTTTTTTGCGCTCCAACTGGTCAGCGCTGAGCAAACACTTTGATCAAGCACATGAGCAGCTTCCAGCCGAGGCCGAGGCGACCAGCAGACGCCGTCAAATTTAATAAAAATCACTGATTTTGATTGATGCGCCTCTTGGTCAGCAGTAAAACTCTCCAGCTCAACCAGCTGCCACCCCCACCCCAACTCCCCCCAGCATTGTCCGATTCCCGGTTCCATATCGTCAGCGTCAGCAAATATTGGCGGAAGGGTTGACATGTGACATTTGGCTGTCGCCCAAGTGTCGCTCCAATTGAAACAAATGAAGCGCACGCAGAGCACAGGAAAGAGCAGTTGCTGCAACTTGTCGACGCCTCAGCGACGGCACTTAGAGCTCTACTGGAGAGCTAGCTGCCAGTCGAGGTTCAGTTAAATGCTGACGGCGCTTAGGTCTAGAGCTGCACTCTTTAACACATATCTCATATGCGATTCCTTACTAACTCTCTCTCTCTTTCTCTCCTTACAGCTAGGCCACGCCGTTTGTCAAGCGTTGACAATTTGACGCTCTGCACAGAGAATCATCCTTGAATAGCACAAAGAACAAAAGCAACAACTCGGCTAGCTCGCAGCAAGGATTAAGCGAGCTAGTGTGAGCGAGAGAGAGAGCGCGCAATAGTAGACAGAGCCAAAGTACTCTGAGATAGACAAAAGCTGAGAGCTACAAGCACAAGCATGCAACACATTATGAATCTGGCAACGCTGCTGCTGGTGGCAGCCGGCCTGCTGCTCGTCCAGGCGGACAGCTCGCAACACATGGCGAACAACGGAGGGGGCGGACACATGGGCATGGGCGGCATGGGTGGCATGGGCGGCATGGGCTCACACTCGATGGACGTGAGTCCAGCGCCCGGCTATGGGGTGCCGGCAATACCCAAGGATCCCAATTCGCGCTGCGAACAGATCACGATACCCATGTGCCGGGGCATCGGCTACAATATGACGGCGTTTCCCAACGACATGAATCACGAGACCCAGGACGAGGCGGGCCTGGAGGTGCACCAGTTCTGGCCGCTGGTGGAGATCAAGTGCTCGCCGGACCTCAAGTTCTTCCTGTGCAGCATGTACACGCCCATCTGCCTGGAGGAGTACCACAAGCCGTTGCCCGTCTGCCGCAGCGTCTGCGAGCGTGCGCGCTCCGGCTGTGCGCCCATCATGCAGCAGTACAGCTTCGAGTGGCCCGAGCGCATGGCCTGCGAGAATCTGCCGCTGCACGGCGATCCCGACAATCTGTGCATGGAGCAGCCATCGTATACGGAGCCGGGCAGCGGCTCGGGCGGCAGCGGTGGTGCGGGCTCGGGTGGATCGGGCTCCGGTTCGGGTGGCAAGCGCAAGCAGGGCGGCAGCAGCGGCTCGGGCGGTTCCTCGACGACGTCCAACAAGTGCAAGGGCAAGAATTCAAAAAACTGCCAAAATCCCCTAGGAGAAAAGGCAAACGGAAAGGAGTGCACATGCTCGTGCCGTTCACCGCTGATCGTCCTGGGGAAGGAGCAGCTCATGCAGCAGTCGCCCATGATGCACCATCACTGGTACATGAACCTAACTGTGCAAAGGATCGCCGGCGTACCAAACTGCGCCATTCCATGCAAGGGCCCGTTCTTCACCAACGACGAAAAGGACTTCGCCGGCCTGTGGATCGCCCTGTGGTCAGGCCTATGCTTCTGCAGCACCCTCATGACCCTAACCACATTCATCATCGACACCGAAAGGTTTAAGTATCCCGAACGTCCCATTGTCTTCCTCTCCGCCTGCTATTTCATGGTCGCCGTCGGCTATCTCTCGCGCAACTTCCTCCAGAACGAGGAGATCGCCTGCGACGGGCGACTGCTGCGCGAGAGCTCGACGGGCCCGCACTCCTGCACCCTGGTCTTTCTGCTCACCTACTTCTTTGGCATGGCCTCGTCCATCTGGTGGGTCATCCTCAGCTTCACCTGGTTCCTGGCCGCTGGCCTGAAGTGGGGCAACGAGGCGATAACGAAGCACTCGCAGTACTTCCATTTGGCTGCCTGGCTCATACCCACGGTCCAGTCTGTGGCCGTGCTCCTGCTCTCGGCCGTCGATGGGGATCCCATTCTGGGCATTTGCTACGTGGGCAACCTGAATCCGGACCATCTGAAGACCTTCGTGCTGGCACCGCTGTTCGTGTACCTCGTCATTGGCACCACCTTCCTCATGGCTGGCTTCGTCTCGCTCTTCCGGATTCGCTCGGTGATCAAGCAGCAGGGCGGCGTTGGCGCTGGCGTCAAGGCCGACAAGCTGGAGAAGCTAATGATCCGCATCGGCATCTTCTCGGTGCTGTACACCGTGCCGGCGACAATTGTCATCGGCTGCTACCTGTACGAGGCGGCCTACTTCGAGGACTGGATCAAGGCTCTGGCCTGCCCCTGCGCCCAGGTCAAGGGGCCCGGCAAGAAGCCCCTCTACTCTGTGCTCATGCTCAAGTACTTCATGGCTCTGGCGGTGGGCATCACCTCGGGTGTGTGGATCTGGTCGGGCAAGACACTGGAGAGCTGGCGTCGCTTCTGGCGCCGCCTGTTCGGGGCACCGGATCGCACCGGCGCCAACCAGGCACTGATTAAGCAACGGCCACCCATTCCCCATCCGTATGCGGGCTCCGGCATGGGCATGCCCGTTGGCTCGGCGGCTGGCTCGCTGCTGGCCACGCCCTACACACAGGCCGGCGGCGCCTCGGTGGCATCCACCAGCCACCACCACTTGCACCACCACGTTCTCAAGCAGCCAGCGGCCAGCCATGTATGACATGGAGAGTCGGGAGGAGCTTCAACCATGGGTGGCGGCAGCGTGCTGGGAGGTCACGGCACACTGATGAGCACGGCGGGCATGAGCAATAGTACGGTTGGCGGCGGCGGTATGTCTGGCATGGGAGCTCCTCCTGGCAGCTTGTTACAAGGCGGTGGCGCCAATGGCGGCGCCCCTGGCACTGTCTACGGCAATGTCAATGGCGGCGGTGGTGTGGGTGGTGTTGGTGGTGTTGGCGGTGGTGTGGGCGCCGGTCAGAGCACAGCGCCCGGTTCGGTCATCGATTCACGAGCCGTCTCTGTGGTGGTCACACTGCCTGGCGGACCTGGCTCTCAGCATCCGGGGCAGGCATTGAGCGACTACGGTCCCATATAGTTAATGGTACGCCCGGACACCGCGCACTGGGTCTCAACGAGCAGCTTTAGTCAGCTGTAAGAGTGCAGTTAATTCCCTCTCTCCAAACAACAAATCTCTCTCTCTTCACTCTATCTCTCCCTCTCTCTCTCTCACACTCTCTCTGTCTCTGTCTCTCACACCTGTCACTTTCTCAGAGGTTTATTAAGCGATTGCCATATTAATTTTTTGTAGCTGTAGTTTGTTTAGAGAAAGGCGCAAAACAGATTTTAAGCGATTTGCCCAAGATTCTAGTCCGAAAACCTTATAGACACATACACGAGTATATCAGCGAGCGACAAGGGCAAGCAAAGAGAGCAGCGAGCACAGAGAGTGAGAAGACGCTCTCCAGCGAATAGCAGTTGAGCGAGATGGGGACAAGCGAGCGAACCAGGCGCGCATTTTGTTGTTCTGAAGCGGCTTTACCTTTTGGTTCTTTCCATTCATTTCTTCAACAAAATAGACTGAGAAATCGATAAACGAAAATGCATTAAACAAACAGAAATCTAGAGAAGGAAACAAAACAAATACAAAGAGAGCAAAAGCGTTTGCCAACACTGCCAAGTCAGAGCCACGAGCCATATTTCGAAATTACAAGTAACTTTTAATCAAACTACCTAAACTATTAACCTTAACCTAATACATAGAGTCACATTTAATATATTTACATATATATATTACGAAGAGACATACACACACACACACACACACATACACATTTCGAATTCGCCAAGTGCGTTATGTTTTAGGGTTGTCGCTGCATCCACATTGCAGAGAGTGAGCGAGCGAGCGAGCGCACAGTGTTGCAAAACCATTTGTAAATTATTTAAAAACCTAACTTAAGAGCCAGCATTATCCAGCACTAATTTCTTGTAAATATTTTTCAAATTGCGCTTAGTTTGTAAACGACTTTTTTTGTAACTTATCCTAAAAACTAAAAGCTAAAAACTAAATAATAGTAATTTGCATTTTAGCGCTGCATTTAAGCTCAACAAAACAAAACAGAAAAGAAATATAAAAAACTGAATTTAATTTTTACACAGAAAATTTAATAAAAAAAAATAATAATAAACTGCATTTAAAGAGCAAAGGAAAATTGTATAAAGTAAAACATTGAGATAAGAGTATTAAATAAATGTAATTTTCGTTTGTAAACGAAATCCAAAAACAAAGCAAAACAAAAATATTTTTCATGCATTAAAATCTATTGTATTTTTATTTAATATATTTAATATACATATACGAACAACAATTACAACTGTTGTTGTTGGCATTTCGAAACCAATTTCACATACGAAACAAAACATAAAAATTATCTATAATTAAATATATATATTATATTATAATATAGCAACTCTATGTGTAATGTTATAGCAACTATAACTATTTCTATAAAATCAACAATTAAAGAAAAAACAAGAAAAAAATAAAATAAAACACTGTAATAAAAATTACTTTAAAAAAATTTATACTTTTGAGTTTTTATTAGTTTGGAAATTTAATTTCGTTTTTCTGTAAGTAGATTTTTTATTTTCTGTTTCAGCTTGCATTTTTCTTTTCATTGAACTTTCGTTGATATTTAGCGTTCATAAGAAAAACCCTCTACACTTATACGTATCATAAAAACGAAGCTCTCCAAGTTAAGCAAAAAAAAAAAAAAAAAAAAAAACAACAAAAAAAAAAAAAAAAAACTCCCAAAAAAAAAAAAAAAAAAAAAAAAAAAAAAAAAACAACAAAAAAATAAGTAAACAAGTAAATATTAATTAGCAAAAATTTCTCTACATGACGTACAATGTTTAATATACTTACATATAT